CCTTCTAAAATTCAAGGAACAACCAAACTGGAAGTCTTGTACCTATGGGGAAGGACTATAAACTCCTTAAAAGAACCGTTGAATGGATGTTAACAATAACACCCATAACAGCGTATTCAGAACTTTCGCCAAAAATAGAATTATTGCAGGCATGATTTCATTCCCTGTCACGTGAGTAAAGTGTATGCTTACCAATAGGATGCTTTATGGACAAGAAAGGAAATTGTTAAATGATAATCTAATTTTTTCCCATCGCAAAGTTCACATTGGGTGGTAAAGATCCAACCAAAAGATCGAAATAGAAGTTCGTAGAACATATGCATAACTATATAACTATAAATTATTTTTTTTCCCACCCTTTTACAAAGAATTGCATGAAAAATACTTGATGACACATAAATACATAAAAAATAAAAATAGTAATTAAAAAGGTATTTAAGAAGGTGAGTATATTAGTGTTTATCAAAGACCTTGGTAGGAGTTCGAAATCTCAGCAATCTCCGCGATCTACAAGAATTAGCCAATAATCAGCCAATTATATAAAGCACCGATCCACCAAAACAAGACGAGAATTTTTTTCTTTTTTTCGTCCTTGCATTATCTAGCTTATATAATTAACTATGTCTTCATCTATATCTTCCCCAGCTTATTCATCCGACGAAGAAAGAATAACACGTACGAAGGCGGATGTCGTTAAGGATTTAGATACAGAAGAACTTATTGATTATTTGTCGAGGCGAGACCTGAAGCTTAATGAGACGCATTTCAAGATTTTACGTCAGGAGGAAATTACCGGTCTTGACTTTCTCAAGTTAAGCAAGCAAGATTTCAGAGATTGTGGGTTTAAAGTGGGACCTGCGACAAGGCTTGCTGACTTTACCGATGACCTTCGAGAACAAAAATTAAAAAGTTTCTCGTCCTATAAATCCATAGAAAAACTGCAGGAGGTACTTCGTAAATATAAAGTAAATGGTGAGGAGATTACGAGTATTAAGCAATTTAATCCAGGTAAATTTCCATATAGCCACTAAATGACTGCTTTCTGCAAATTATTTGATTTTATAACTGCGACATACAACTGGCTGATATTTCTGTTCTTTAGTTTTTGAGGATATCGATGATGATGATAAAGCGCTCGAACGGTGCATGGACGAAATAACATTAAGACTTACGAATTTGGAAACAATGCAACCTAATGCTAACGAAGCCACTCGCTGTGTATTTATTACATCTATACTAAACGCATCACTTGCCATTGTCCGAAGACTTACAAAAGAGGAAAAAATCTATATATCTTATCAAAAAAGCGTTTCTGGTGAGGAGGCGACGGGACGTGTTGACTATGCAATAAAAGGAAGCGAGGATCTTATGTGCATAGCTGAGGGCAAACCTCGTAATGTCGAGATCGGATATCTCCAGAATATCATGCAACTTGAGAGCGCATACCATACAAATAAAAAGAAACGTACAGCAGATCAAGCATTTCGAAATGATGATTATGACTATCTTTATGGAATAGTTTCCACAGGTATAGATAAATTTTTTGCATATTACTTATCAGGGTGAAGTTCAGAAATTTCGATCATAATTCTTGATTATTTTTTAGCCACAGAATGGCACTTTATCGTGTTCGCCACTGATGGTCTTTATTGTACAAGTAAAAGCGAATATCAGATCAATCTCTCCAAAATGGCACTTGAAGATTTAGATTCTATTCGAAAAGGTGTAAAACGTGTGCTAGGTGTTATTGTTGGGTTATTAAAAGATCGTTTAACAATTGATAACTCCCCAGCTAGTAAGAGGACCCGAATCAAAGAATTATCGGAAGATAATTAATAGATAAATTCCCTGCCCACATGTATAATAATGCAATTTGATATTAATTATTTACTGCGGTAAAAATTGCATATATGTGGTATATGATATCAATAATGTAATGCAAAAAGATTTATTACACAAATAATCAGGAGATATACAAAAATAGTTCAGATTTGGTAATTACTATAAGTATCTCGCTTATCTCTATGTTTGAAATAAGGATATTTCCGCATCTTGGCCATGCCAGCTTTGCTGAAACTTCTATATGGAGAAAAAATATTATCCACGATCAATAAAGTTATAACTGTTAATAATTGAGTATAAATCCGCATGCATGTGTCATAGAGCCCCAAGGGAGCAACCTCATGTGATCGCAGAAAAAATGATATACTAATTATTCCATAGATAATGATTTGCGATATAAACACCCATCCAGCTCTAGCATAGTTTTTCAATCCTTTCACGCATCTTAACCTCCTCTCCCATAGCCTGTTTTAACTTTACATTCTCTGCCTTAGCCTTGGTGTTTTCGACCTCAAGTATAATAATACACTGTTTCAATAAATCGATTTTAGATTGTATGTTTGTCATTGTTTATGTAAGATGCGGATATAATCAAAAGTCTTTATTAATAAAATATATATATACGATGAATATACAGGATAAAAATATATGATAAAAATACGAGATATCAATCAAAGATAGGCCCATGTCAGAAATAAAAAAACCAATTGTCAGAATCAATAGTTGAGCTATCTTCTACAAGTCTACCTGATTTGGGTAAAGATGTATTATGGAGTAAGGTCATATTGACGATTAAAATATTTCATAATATTAGCAAGGTCTCTACAAATTTTGTAACAACAGAAGGAGACAATTGTTGAATTGGTATTTCTGATTCATGGAAATGGTAATAATGATGTATTTCACTCATATCTCTAATAAGAATACTTAGACATAATTTCTTTCCCGCCACTTGTATACCAATAATACCGAATTCATCCTTATCAGACTTACAACTCTTATGAGTCCAATACATACCATCATTAGTTTCATGCCACAACTTTACTCCATCATTCTTTTCCTTTCGTGTTGTACAAGTCGAACGTGAGCATTCGGCATATAAAAGTTCATAATTTTTTTTACCATGCTTCATTACAAACATTATATCCAGTCATCTTCCCAATCACCTATCACCTTTTCTATTAGCGCTAGCACTGTTTTGACATTCGGAACTACTGACAAATGTAGATTTACCTAGAAGAAAACACTTTAATGTAGCCCGTATAGCTGGTAATATTACATTATTTACATAAGTACCTTCACTTTGCAATTTTGCAAACTCGGGATCAAATGCTTGATTATTTCACATATCATTCAAAATACTCAAAATTCTCGATGTAACCTCTACAAGCTCCTCATTCATTTCTTTCCACTTTCCATTATGCACTAACTTTTGTGATAAACTGTCTATACATCTTCCAATAAAGTTTTTTACGAATTCATTACATTTTTCTTGTATAATAGGAGGAAGGGATGGAGGTACCATTTGCCGTACTAGTTTCTAATAACATGATATATTAGCATATGAATCCCATCAATTTTATAAAAAATACTTATCATAAAAGAGTTCCTTAATTGTGTAGGTAAATTCAATACCAAATCTAAATCGTCGCTAATTACTTGACTAGCTAAAGGGTCCTCCCAGGTTAACTCAGAAATAGATACTTTATTTATACTGAAAAATAAATATTGGTAAAGTTGTATAGGATTTTTTTTAAGTTTTCCTTTTAGTGCTTTGATATTCTTTTCGATTTGACCGGAACTAAGAGACTTTTCTTCATTCGTTATCACTGCTCCAATGATATGTAAACTACAAACAGTTTTATAAGATATTTTGAACTAATACAATTATTAGTTAATTAGATTTAATATTAATAAAAATAATTAGTACTCTATACTAGCTTTGCTAAAAAACACATACGTCATCAAAATATAAATAAAGTCATATCCTTGTGTGGTTAGCTACTCCAACATGCAAATAAGACTTTATGTGATATTAAATCGATCATATAGAATAAAGCATATATCTAATCTAAAATAACCTCCACACTGCCGAGAAATTTTACTGTGAGTGGGCTAATAGAATATTTAAACTATTACATTTTTTACTCAGAATGATATCATTATTCACGTTATTCATCATTCGATATGTCCCTTGTCACTATTAATCTATTTATTAATAAAAGTTAAATAACTTACTTCAAGTAGAATTTCAAGAAGTGTCGAGTGTCATGAAGAACCTCGAATATTTTGATTATTAGCAAATGATACCACCTGTTCTATAATACCTCTCAACTCATTTTTTTCTAACTAAGTGTCGTCTTCTATAGCTTGATAAATAACTGACCTAGCGATTATATGATTTTCTTCTACGTTAATCAAGAAATTATAAATTTTTGTTTGTAAATCAATAGACATATTTAGTGGATATTAGAAAAGTATAAAGATGAATATTAGTTTTGTTAAGTAATATACTCACAAATAAAGTTTCAACAACACCAGTATACTCTCCTTTTAACATTTCTCATTATTTCCCTTTTTTAGTATTTTGTCTTATGGATTAAGAAAGAAGTCAGTATATGCACGAGAACAAAAGATATGTATATACCTTGAGTCAATTATTCAAACCAGGTTATTGATATCCCTATTTGTAAAAAGTATAACATAGTGCTTTAGTTTTGCGATAAATATAAATATGAAGTTGGCAGAATAAAAAATGATGTTATGTATCTGCTTTTGAGATATTTTTCATATAGATATGCAAGGTGTAAGGGAGACTAATTAAATTTAGTAATCGGTGTATCGCATGACTTAATGATGCATACAGGTTCTATTACATTCGAATTCATTTTATAACACATATCACATAATAGGTTAATAATTTTAGTGAAGATATTGAATTACATAAGTTATTAGACCCTATAAGCTATTTCTCTGAAATACTTACTATAAATTGAAAATATATCGTGATGAAATTACGTATTAATAATTGTAGTTAAAAATAGTTCATTATCGATATCTGCTCATGTTAAAAATCTTACAACTATTTACCAGTGTAAATTATGAACTAGTTTTGGTGCTTATATCTGAGAATAAAATAATTATGGGTCATTTGTTGATTTTATATGTTCTGTCAATCGTCATAAGCAACCATACATAATAAGTTAGAATCTCGTTATTTTGTAATATCCACATGAGCAATTCTATATAAATACAAACATACTGCTCATATTTTTTTACAACAAATTTTAAGTATTTTGATACTAGCTTTGCTATCGTAACAAATATATATCTTGTTTATAAGTTAAATTCTATGTACTCATTATATAATATACGTATCAAATTGTCACGGATATGTAATCAAACCTAGCTCAGATAATATTTTCATCTTATAACTTCTGAAACTCTTCACAGTTCTAAAAAGATATGTCTTGTATTTCTTAGTATAAGATTAGGAGTTGCACAATCTGACTATTTAGGAATACTTCTTCAAAACATATCGACGTTGTTACCCTTGATTTTCTTCTGATTAAATAGTTATATTATTTTTCTTACTTATTTATTATATCTTATATTGTTAATATTATTTATTATTTATTTGTATTATTTAGTTATTTAGTTATATATAGTTATATTATTATTAGTATATTGTATTAGAGATGTTACACTAAGTAGATCAATCAATGTAGCGATCTGTTACACTGTCAAAGATATTGTCAAAATCAATATCAAGATCAGTGTCAAGGTTACTGTTAAAAACATTAGCAGAAATACTGTCAAGAATACTGGCACGAACACTGATGAAACTATTAGTTATATAAAGGATGAGTTTTCCTTTTACCCAAAAGGGAGATTAAAGATTTAAAAATTGGAGAAGATTAAAATAACTAATAGTGTAAATTAGTTGAAATCTCTTATACTTGTAAATATCCTGAATTAATAGGATATTATATTTCATTTTTTTAATAATAAACTATTTTTATATTATATTTATCGTAAATCCTTGTTAGTTTATATTCTTTAAATATAAACTATTAAAGTATATAAACCTTATTCGTTTTAAACTTTCCAGTACACTTTATTTGATTACATTGAATCGTCGAATAATAAATTCAATGAATACATTTAACTTAGTTCTTGAAATTATAAATTTATCCTTCGTACTTAAAATTAGTCTAATTATTCTTGATTAATAATTTAGTTATCTAACTTGAATCACTTAAGTTTACTAGTTGTAAACTTCCTGTTGGAACCTTATTTCACCAAACAGGTCAACTAGTAACAATTTGATACCTTCTAGCGAAACAAATCGAAATTTTTATAATTATCCTATTCCTTATTTTGATAACCCTAATATAGTATTTTATAATTTATCTTCTTTAGTTAGTTACCCTTCAATGTAAAGACCTTAATTAGTTAGTTATAATTTTAGATAATTATTTTTTTACCTTTTAGTATTAGTAATTTATTTCTATAATTAATATCAAACAATTCAAGAACTTAATAAAATCATCAAAGAAATCGCAGAACTTTATCAACAAAGATAAAATATATAGTCGATCAAACATCTGAATCAGAAGAACCCGTGTGGAAATTAGAAGACCTTTTAGAATTATGTAAAATTAAAGATCAATATAATTTACTTTTTCGAATTCGAGACAACTGCTATCAAATTTTAAGTGACCTAAACTAATTAAAAGAAAATTTTTCCCTTTTAAATTAATATTCTATAAGTACTTTAAATAAATAAATAATTCGCAGTTTTGAGTAAAAGGATACCACCCACTGAATCCCTTATTACTCACGTTATAAAACGATTGGAGCAGTTAGCTTCAAGTACACCAGAAGATTTCTCGCAAACTATCTTTACACCATAACCACTTTTCGTCGTGACGTCATCACAAAACTCTACTACGCAGTTCCCAATGGCTGCCGAGCTTGATAAGATTTCATCCCCAGCTACTGCAAAAACTAAATTAACAACTAAATCCCCTATAATTCCAAAACACATCTAATCGGGAACAAAACCCAAACCTTTTTCTACTGTTGTAGACTTGTTAGAAGAAATAGATATTCAAGATACTGCTATAGAAACTGAATCAAGTAC